TACAGGTGGCTATTTAAATTTAAAGGTAAGCTCAATAAACGTAATAATGTAGTTCCTCAGTCTCCTTAGCCATAGCACTCAGAGCTTTGCATGGCGAGAAGCCGCCACTCTGACAGTGCACATGTAGAACATTTCTGTCACTGCAGAAGGTTCACTAGACTGACACACTTCTGATCTCTGTTCCCTCAGCCTTGCCTGACCCTGTGGTTTAAATAACGGGGCATGGTATGTGCCAGTGGTCTCGCTAAGCCTAGAACTGAGGTTCTCGAGCTTTAGTGCCTGGCAGAATCCGTGGACAGCTTGCTAAAACACAGATTCCTGCCCCCCCCCCACCTCCCCAAGGGTCTTATTCAGCACATCTGGGATAGGTTCTGAGATTTTTCATTTCTTTTGTTTGTTTGTGTTTATTATTGTGTGTTATAGGGCACAGTATGCTGCTAGAGAGACAGAGAGAGAGAACGTGAAGTCACCCCTCCAGGGAGGTGGGCATGCACACATGTCTGCTGGGTCGAGGACTGGAACTGCACAAGCAGCCACGCAGGATCCAGCCGCCTTAGCCACCATGCCACTGGCAGGCCCAAGAATCTTCATTTCTGACGAGTTTTTGGGTGATGCTGATGCCCCTGGTCTGGGGGCCACACTAAGAACTGCCGATCTGCAAAGACAGGCGCAGAAGGAGCTCTAGCTAGTAGTGTTCCTTGGAAATACCTCGAGTTTGGGCAGAAGGCATGGCCGAACGGCAGTATCTAAGATGCATTGATGATATCCCTTGTATGTCCACAGAGGTTTTATCTCTTGTCTGGGTTCTCATCTCAGGGGACACATTAGTTGGAGAGAGCCCTTCCGAGAAAAAAGGGCCAAAAAGGTTTCCTTTCTTTTGGAGACCTCCAAACCATGTCCTCATGAAACCTCCAGAGACTGATTACATTGGGGAAGCCTATAAATGGAGGGTCTCCCGGGTACTCTAGTGAACTTTGCTTATGTAGGAAGAGGAGATGCAAGGTGAGGCGGGCACAGATACGAGGAGAGGAGAGAGACTGGAAACCCACCCACCCAGCTGAGCAGCCCTGACAGGAACTGCTGGGGGTTAACCCATAGTTGCTTCATTGTGCTGGTGTCAACTCAGGACCTACGGTGAGTCAGGCACTGAGACAGAAAAAATAGGAACTGAAATGCAGTCCCGTCTTCGTGGATGTCATGACTGAGCGTTTTGGGAAGGGGCCGGCAGGTAATCAAGTAATTGAGTGATCTAAGAACTTCGGCGCTAGAGTGTCTTCAGAGGCCTCTGGATTCTCTTGACAGCCCTAGAGTGGTCCAAGAAGACTGGAGAAGAGTGGCTTCTGAATTAAGTCAGACCAGTGTACTGGAGG